CACTATGCTAGTAGTAGAAGGCTGTAGACCCACTATGCTAGTAGTAGAAGGCTGTGCAGACCCACTATGCTAGTAGTAGAAGGCTGTAGACCCACTATCCTAGTAGTAGAGAAGGCTGTAGACCCACTATCCTAGTAGTAGAAGGCTGTAGACCCACTATGCTAGTAGTAGAAGGCTGTAGACGCACTATCCTAGTAGTAGAAGGCTGTGCAGACGCACTATGCTAGTAGTAGAAGGCTGTAGACGCACTATGCTAGTAGTAGAAGGCTGTAGACGCACTATCCTAGTAGTAGAAGGCTGTGCAGACCCACTATGCTAGTAGTAGAAGGCTGTAGACGCACTATCCTAGTAGTAGAAGGCTGTGCAGACCCACTATGCTAGTAGTAGAAGGCTGTAGACGCACTATGCTAGTAGTAGAAGGCTGTAGACCCACTATGCTAGTAGTAGAAGGCTGTAGACCCACTATCCTAGTAGTAGAAGGCTGTAGACCCACTATGCTAGTAGTAGAAGGCTGTGCAGACCCACTATGCTAGTAGTAGAAGGCTGTAGACGCACTATGCCCTAGTAGTAGAAGGCTGTAGACCCACCATCCTAGTAGTAGAAGGCTGTAGACCCACTATGCTAGTAGTAGAAGGCTGTAGACGCACTATCCTAGTAGTAGAAGGCTGTGCAGACCCACTATGCTAGTAGTAGAAGGCTGCAGACGCACTATGCTAGTAGTAGAAGGCTGTAGACACACTATGCTAGTAGTAGAAGGCTGTGCAGACGCACTATGGTAGTAGTAGAAGGCTCTAGACCCACTATGCTAGTAGTAGAAGGCTGTAGACGCACTATCCTAGTAGTAGAAGGCTGTGCAGACCCACTATGCTAGTAGTAGAAGGCTGTAGACCCACTATGCTAGTAGTAGAAGGCTGTGCAGACGCACTATGCTAGTAGTAGAAGGCTGTAGACCCACTATGCTAGTAGTAGAAGGCTGTAGACGCACTATCCTAGTAGAAGAAGGCTGTAGACGCACTATGTTAGTAGTAGAAGGCTGTGTAGACCCACTATCCTAGTAGTAGAAGGCTGTGTAGACCCACAATGCTAGTAGTAGAAGGCTGTAGACGCGCAATGCTAGCAGTAGAAGGCTGTAGACCCGCTATGCTAGTAGTAGAAGGCTGTAGACGCACAATGCTAGTAGTAGAAGGCTGTGCAGACGCACTATGTTAGTAGTAGAAGGCTGTGTAGACCCACAATGCTAGTAGAAGAAGGCTGTGTAGACCCACTATGCTAGTAGTAGAAGGCTGTAGACGCACAATGCTAGTAGTAGAAGGCTGTTGACCCGCTATGTTAGTAGTAGAAGGCTGTGTAGACCCACAATGCTAGTAGTAGAAGAAGGCTGTGTAGACCCACAATGCTAGTAGTAGAAGGCTGTAGACGCACTATGCTAGTAGTAGAAGGCTGTAGACGCACAATGCTAGTAGTAGAAGGCTGTAGACGCACTATGGTAGTAGTAGACGCACTATGTTAGTAGTAGAAGGCTGTAGACCCACTATGCTAGTAGTAGAAGGCTGTAGACGCACTATGCTAGTAGAAGAAGGCCTAGACTACACTATGCTAGTAGTAGAAGGCTGTAGACGCACTATGCTAGTAGTAGAAGGCTGTAGACAGTAGAAGGCTGTGCAGACGCATGCTATGCTAGTAGTAGAAGGCTGTAGACGCACTATGCTAGTAGAAGAAGGCTCTAGAGACACACTATGCCAGTAGTAGAAGGCTGTAGACCCACAATGCTAGTAGTAGAAGGCTGTAGACGCACAATGCTAGTAGTAGAAGGCTGTGCAGACGCACTATGCTATGCTAGTAGTAGAAGGCTGTAGACGCACAATGCTAGTAGTAGAAGGCGTTAGACGCACTATCCTAGTAGTAGAAGGCTGTGCAGACGCACTATGTTAGTAGTAGAAGGCTGTAGACCCGCTATGCTAGTAGTAGAAGGCTGTAGACGCACAATGCTAGTAGTAGAAGGCTGTGCAGACGCACTATGCTAGTAGTAGAAGGCTGTAGACGCACAATGCTAGTAGTAGAAGGCGTTAGACGCACTATGGTAGTAGTAGAAGGCTCTAGACCCACTATGCTAGTAGTAGAAGGCTGTAGACGCACTATCCTAGTAGTAGAAGGCTGTGCAGACGCACTATGTTAGTAGTAGAAGGCTGTGTAGACCCACTATGCTAGTAGTAGAAGGCTGTAGACGCACTATCCTAGTAGAAGAAGGCTGTAGACGCACTATGTTAGTAGTAGAAGGCTGTGTAGACCCACTATCCTAGTAGTAGAAGGCTGTGTAGACCCACAATGCTAGTAGTAGAAGGCTGTAGACGCGCAATGCTAGCAGTAGAAGGCTGTAGACCCGCTATGCTAGTAGTAGAAGGCTGTAGACGCACAATGCTAGTAGTAGAAGGCTGTAGACGCACTATGGTAGTAGTAGAAGGCTGTGCAGACGCACTATGTTAGTAGTAGAAGGCTGTGTAGACCCACAATGCTAGTAGAAGAAGGCTGTGTAGACCCACTATGCTAGTAGTAGAAGGCTGTAGACGCACAATGCTAGTAGTAGAAGGCTGTGCAGACGCACTATGTTAGTAGTAGAAGGCTGTGCAGACGCACTATGTTAGTAGTAGAAGGCTGTGTAGACCCACAATGCTAGTAGTAGAAGGCTGTTGACCCGCTATGCTAGTAGTAGAAGGCTGTAGACGCACAATGCTAGTAGTAGAAGGCTGTAGACGCACTATGTTAGTAGTAGAAGGCTGTAGACCCACTATGCTAGTAGTAGAAGGCTGTAGACCCGCTATGCTAGTAGTAGAAGGCTGTAGACGCACTATGTTAGTAGTAGAAGGCTGTAGACCCACTATGCTAGTAGTAGAAGGCTGTAGACGCACAATGCTAGTAGTAGAAGGCTGTAGACCCGCTATGCTAGTAGTAGAAGGCTGTAGACGCACTATGTTAGTAGTAGAAGGCTGTAGACCCACTATGCTAGTAGTAGAAGGCTCTAGACGCACAATGCTAGTAGTAGAAGGCTGTAGACGCACAATGCTAGTAGTAGAAGGCTGTAGACCCACTATGCTAGTAGTAGAAGGCTGTAGACGCACTATGCTAGTAGTAGAAGGCTGTAGACGCACTATGTTAGTAGTAGAAGGCTGTAGACCCACTATGCTAGTAGTAGAAGGCTCTAGACGCACAATGCTAGTAGTAGAAGGCTGTAGACGCACAATGCTAGTAGTAGAAGGCTGTAGACCCGCTATGCTAGTAGTAGAAGGCTGTAGACGCACTATGCTAGTAGTAGAAGGCTGTAGACGCACTATGTTAGTAGTAGAAGGCTGTAGACCCACTATGCTAGTAGTAGAAGGCTCTAGACGCACAATGCTAGTAGTAGAAGGCTGTAGACGCACTATGCTAGTAGTAGAAGGCTGTAGACGCACAATGCTAGTAGTAGAAGGCTGTAGACCCACTATGCTAGTAGTAGAAGGCTGTAGACGCACAATGCTAGTAGTAGAAGGCTGTAGACCCACTATGCTAGTAGTAGAAGGTTGTAGACGCACAATGCTAGTAGTAGAAGGTTGTAGACGCACAATGCTAGTAGTAGAAGGTTGTAGACGCACAATGCTAGTAGTAGAAGGCTCTAGACGCACAATGCTAGTAGTAGAAGGCTGTAGACGCACTATGTTAGTAGTAGAAGGCTGTAGACCCACTATGCTAGTAGTAGAAGGCTCTAGACGCACAATGCTAGTAGTAGAAGGTTGTAGACGCACAATGCTAGTAGTAGAAGGTTGTAGACGCACAATCCTAGTAGTAGAAGGCTGTAGACGCACAATCCTAGTAGTAGAAGGCTGTAGACGCACAATGCTAGTAGTAGAAGGCTGTAGACGCACAATGCTAGTAGTAGAAGGCTGTGCAGACGCACTATGTTAGTAGTAGAAGGCTGTAGACCCGCTATGCTAGTAGTAGAAGGCTGTGTAGACCCACTATGTTAGTAGTAGAAGGCTGTAGACCCACTATGCTAGTAGTAGAAGGCTGTAGACGCACTATGCTAGTAGTAGAAGGCTGTAGACGCACTATGCTAGTAGTAGAAGGCTGTAGACCCACTATGCTAGTAGCTAGTAGTAGAAGGCTCTAGACACACTATGCTAGTAGTAGAAGGCTGTAGACGCACTATGGTAGTAGTAGAAGGCTGTAGACCCACTATGCTAGTAGTAGAAGGTTGTAGACGCACTATGCTAGTAGTAGAAGGCTGTAGACGCACTATGCTAGTAGTAGAAGGCTGTAGACGCACTATGGTAGTAGTAGAAGGCTGTAGACGCGCAATGCTAGTAGTAGAAGGCTGTGTAGACCCACTATGCTAGTAGAAGGTTGTGTAGACGCACTATGCTTTACTTAACAGAGGAGGAAGCGATATGCTAATACAGGGAGTTCTGTAAAGTTTACATGAAATTTTATCACATGAATTGATTTTCTGCCGGCAGTGTGTCTGACATTCACTTGCCAAAACGTCAAACACGTTTCCCTCGTCTGTGATACAAATAAACGATGGCATGTTTGATAACAATTATTTCCAACGTATTATGAAATAAATGCCATAACAATTAGGCTTAGAGAGAGGTACTCCGACCCAGCCGATGTGGTATTCCATCTCCGGGTTATTTAGGGAACGAATCGGTAAGCCATAAGCATCGCGTCGTGTTTTCGTGTACACACACACACCGGTATTGGTAAGGTGTGAGGGTATACAATGCTCTAACAGCGAATGCAGTGTAAGTTAATGTTCATAGACATGCATTTGCGTCCTGCAAAACGGCTGTCTAATTTCAGATCACCGTCTACGCTTGTTATGAATTTTGTAACGACATATATTAACATACTGAAATTATAACAAAGTTTTGACTTCGGTCTTATTGAAACATAATGCAACGATTTACATCAAAGGTTTCAACTGATCAGTTCTGACAGGTTTGGTTGAAGTTAATATGACTACTCACCCCTTAAAAACAATACACTCCTTTTCTTCTTCACTCGTTCCATACACTTCCTCTCTCCCTCCTCCTCTCCTTTCTTTGGAACGCCGCCTCATGTAGTGCGCGCGGCCTCGCCTCCCCCTTCCTGCTCCCCCGGGCGGGCCTCAGATGCCATCAGCCAATAGAATAACTTCGTCTTGATGCTATGGAAACACGAAAACAAATAATCTGAGGAGGGGGTTTTGAATAAACATGAACACAAACAAACATACTCGTAAATAGACGCCCTGGTTTGTACCAGCTTGTATTGTATGGACCAAAATAGAGATACATTTGTATCTACTGTATTAAGTGAAAGAAACGCCCACTGACCAACTTATAGATCGATATGTATGTAATCGATAAATGGGCTCCCGTTAAAAAGCGAAAGTTTGTATGTTAGAACATATTTATTTTGTGAATACTTATCACAGCTAACAGCAGGTCAGAACGGGTGTTCAAGTTATCTGCCTTGTAACTATCATCGAAAATGTTTCAACGATGTTTGAAATAAGGAAGGGTAAGAATATATGGAACAACTTCTATGTTACAACAGGAGCGACGTTTCTGTATAGGTTCCAACACCGTTATCGCGCAAGTGATGTACAGACCACAGTATGGACTGAGAGGCATATGGACAAATATGAGGAAGTGTTTTCACAGTTGATTGGATCGGGGTTTCAAAGTGGATTTAACTACAAAGTGGGTAGGATGGGTTGAACAAACTTTGTTCGACCTATGACAAGTGAAACTTCTGTTTAAGATATTTTAAAAGAGCGTCATTTGTCAATTTCAAAAGCGCTTATCATCAAAATAGTAACCCGAAAAACAATGTCACGTAGTTTATGGGTACTTTCTTTTTAACCAATTTTAACTTTAACTTTAACTGAATATTTATTGATACAGCTTCTACAACATAATCAATACTGTTTTTCTCGTCAAGTAAGTTGGTCCTACTTGACAGCGACATTGGATCCGGCTGTGTGATAACGGTAAATCCGCCATGACACTCTTCAGGTCGTCAAGTAACATAGCTTAATCCGTAAGATGACCGAAATACGTCTAATTAGAAACCTACTCTTGATATCTTGGAACCCAGATCAGGTAAAAAAACTGATGCCAATGGTCTTTGTAAGAGGGCAGGGGGAACTAAAACACTGGTTCTCAATGTTGATGTGCTTTCAGTTGTACCAGTAAACGGTCTTACCGCTACGACTTTCTTGTCTATGTTAAGTATGGTAGCCGCTATGGTTAACAGAAAGTCAATTCTGTTGATTCATACAGGCGTCAAATACATTGGGTGTCGTCGTTAAAACGTCGTTCAGACGTTGAATATATACCGCCCATGCACATGCCTCACATCGACATGAAGCTGGGTCCTTGGGCTAACTGATAGTGTCATCAGAATTGACCGTCTCTCCCAGGGTCAACGCTGGGACGCTTTACGGGTTCGTAGATACAACTGCGCTACAATGACTTTCACGGACCTAGAATGCTATGAAGGACCCTTTTATGAAGAAAGGCATTAAACCCCTTTACAAAGTCATCATAAAAGTTGTGATGTTATGTCATACTGGATGAAAATTAGATTTGTCCATTTGAACAAATGCACGTTTAGAACTTTAACAAAACTAAAAATAGATATGCATGGCTATTGTAAAATGTGCCGAGAAGATTTCCATGAGCCACGTTTCTTCTGCTTGAACATTCGGTAGTATTTCATTCAGAGTTTCCAAAGTGAGTTCAATACGGTAAACAAATATTACAATATTTGGACTGTCGTGGACCTGCTCCTCCTACATAAATTGGAAACCCCGTCATTTTGCCATATCTATATATAATATCGATCATATCTATATATAATACCGATCATATCTATATATAATATCGATCATATCTATATATAATACCGATCATATCTATATATAATATCGATCATATCTATATATAATACCGATCATATCTATATATAATACCGATCATATCTATATATAATACCGATCATATCTATATATAATATCGATCATATCTATATATAATACCGATCATATCTATATATAATATCGATCATATCTATATATAATATATAATACCGATCATATCTATATATAATATCGATCATATCTATATATAATACCGATCATGTCTATATATAATATCGATCATATCTATATATAATACCGATCATACCTATATATAATATCGATCATATCTATATATAATATCGATCATATCTGGTGTCAAACCTTCCAAATGTAGGAAATAAATATCGGATGTCAGACATATATGATATTATGTATGATAGTTTTATTTCCAATACTTGTTTCATTTCTAGCCTTTAGCCTTCTCGCATTTCGTTTAGCATTTGTCCTTCTTCATAAGTATAGTAGAGAATCAGAGTGAGTGAGTTAAGTTTCACGCCGCTTTTAGTAATATTCCAGCAATATCACGGCGGGAGACACTAAAAAAATGTTTTTTTCGAAATGGGCTTCACAAATTGTATCCATGTGGGAAATCGAACCCGGGTCTTCGGCGTGACGAGCGCATGCTTTAACCACTGGGCTACCCCACCGCCCATTACAAATCAGAGCTCCCTAGATCACCTTTGGCACACATTCCTAATTTCATTTTGTAAATAAGATAATAAATAACACGATACAGACAGTGTTTCCAAGATCGTTGCTTAAAGAAACTACCAAGCAATTATTTGACGTTGCTAGACATAATCTGTCTACCTGCCAGTTCGGCATTACATAATATGTGAAAGGCGTTGCCTAGTAATCATTGTTCTGGCATATAGAGCAGCCAATATTTAATGTGTTTCAATTCAAAGCACTGTTCCTGGACGGTGGGAACCATTTCCAAACAATATCAGAGGAAGGTGCCAGTGCCAAGTTCTGAAAAAATTCCAAACCGGTGTACTGTAGAACCTTAAGAATACGGACACCTGCAGTATACGTTTGTTGCGAGTCTCGTATGACTCGGTCACCTCTATACCAATGGTTTGTAATTACAATATAAGCTTGTATACTAATATTGTAGCTGTATGACGGACTAATAACCTAATCTGGACCAAACAAATAAGTGATTGACATCATGAGCGCTGATCTACCCAACTAAGGCAGATGACATGTGTCAACCAAGTCAGCGAGCCTGAAAACCTGATCCCGTTAGTCGCCTCTTACGACAAGCATGGATTGCTGAAGACCAACCCGGATCTACAAATGTTTAAAAAAACAAACATATAAGACAAATAAAACACAACCCTAGCCCGGGTTATTATTTTGTATGACCCATATTTGTAGCTGACAATTTGACCCACCGTGTGACACAATGATATCCTTGACATGCTTTTAAGCTCGTATTTTGATATGCAAAGCTGAAAAACAAAAATTGGCAACACCTTCATGGAAAATAAATAAATCATATTCAGATCGTAGGTTAAGACAAGGGTCATCTCGATATGTGGATTCTGTGCTGGTAAGTCTAAATACTGCCATAGGATATCACACCAGGAGCTACGCCTATACGAATAAACACCAGGGTAATTTAAGATGGAGTTTCTCTACGGCGGCTAGGAAACATTGCTATTTAAATTCCTTTTTTGTGGTGTAGTGGTTGAAAGCACACGATAATGAAATCTGTGGCACTACTGCGTCAATTTTGCACTGCGAGAACTTGCCTATTTACCCTTTGACGACTGACGTTCAATGATTTGATTGTGTGTTGTTTACGCCGCACTCAGCAATATTCCAGCTGTATGACTGCGGTCTGTAAATAATCGAGTCTGGACCAGATAATCCAGTGATCAACAAAAGCATCGATCTACGCAGTTGGATACGATGACATGTGTCAACCAAGTCAGCGAGCCTGACCATCCGATACCGTTAGTCGCCTCTTGCGACAAGCATGGGCTGCCGAAGACGAATTCTAATCCGGATCTTCACGGGTTCCGATGTTTAATGAAGATACTTAATGATGATGTTGAAGATATAAAAAACGCTTCCGGTCGGACCAAATTTTGCTTTCGGCGGGATTCTTTGTATCGAGTGTGTATATCTACTGGCAATGTAACATATCACAAGTTGAGATAAAAATAATGATGTCCAAGATATTTTTATGGATTAAACTTCTTTTTATTTCTCTCACGACGTTTCGAGACCATTCCAGGTCCCTTCATCACCTGGAATGGTCTCGAAACGTCGTGAGAAAATAAAAAGAAGTTTAATCCATAAAAATATCTTGGACATCAATGTACAACTTCTAAATGCCACTGAAAGAAAAAAATAATGATGTTTTGACAAAAAAGAGCCAGAGTAGACTGTACTTCAACCCCGAAAATGTATGCTTTAGATAGAAACAGACAATTCAATATATTTTTGAAAAGGATGGCCCAGTATTGAAAGATTTAGAACGGAACCTAATAAGGAAAATCTCAACTTGATTCTGTAAAAGCTTAAGCTTTTGGCGTGGGGTGGGGGTTCGCTCTTGGTTGACAACATCGAGACTTTGGCTAATTTTAACAAGATCGTCAATATCATAGTTAGGGCAAGTGTTGTGTAGACTGCAGGACGATACCCTGTTGTAAATGATAAAACACAGGTTTTAAGTGATTAAGGTGAATGCGGTGTGTCATTGCTTTTAACAATATTTAAGTTCTGTTTCTGTGTTTCAGTTTCATGTGGGATGATTTCATTTTAGATGTTGGCCTTTTTGATAAAAACTCCCCGCGCTAGGACCAGGTGCAGACAAACCAATACGATAATATAAGGTTCGAACCCACGATCAGCGGATCCTGGTACGGTTAAGGGACAGGAACAGCTACTAAAACCACCTTATCAACGTCCTCGGTGAAGAGTGAAGCATCCTACCTAGCGCATCAACCTAGCGCATTGTTTTCACTGAGGAGGTCGTTTCTGGAAGATGAAGACGTGGTGATTCAGCTGCAACTCGTGAAATGTGTTCAACTCCGAACCGAGTACAGTACCTTTCAGACATAAGATGTAGAATACCTGTTGCTGTCTCAGCTCTGGGTTCCATATCAACAATGTTGGAGCTATGGCGATTCACTCAGCAAGCAGTTTGATAACACAGCAGTAATCTCCCACTTATCTGGTTTATTTGTGAGGTAGGTGTATTCTGAATAACCTGCGTCAAATCCCGG